GGAGCCCAGGCTGGGCATACATTCAATCCCTAGCCCTGCCTGGTCCCCAGAACACCACCAAGAGTGACCACCCCCTTAGCACAGAGCCAGGAGCAGTTCCTGAGCACTGCTGGGTGTGACCCCCCCCCCAAAAAAAAAACACCATAAAGAATGAATTAGGAGGCCGGAGTGATAGTAGAGAGGGTAGGGTGTTTGCCTTGCACACAGCCGACCTGGGTTTGATTCCCCGGCATCCCATATGGTCCCCCAAGCACCGCCAGGAGTAATTCCTGAGTGCAAAGCCAGGAGGAACCCCTGAGCATCACTGGGTGTGACCCAAGAAGCAAAAAAAAAAAAAAAAAAAAAAAAGAATTAGTAAAATACACAGGTGGTGTAGATGATCTTGCATCCAAAAGGCTCCTTGACACTCTGTGTCAGCGACACTCTAGTACATCCAGGGAGGTTGGGATCTGGCCCCTTGATGGAACAGCCCCCTTGGGGGTGTGGAAGGAAATGAATGACCCCCACACAAAGGGCTCCTGGGCTTGTCTGGTGTGGAAGACGTGGGTAGGCGGTGCTTCCAGGAAACACCTGCACTACTGTTCAGGCGGATCGTGGGGCCCTGAGTGTCCCCATCACAGATGTGCCACTTCCCCCAGGACCCCCAAACGCCCCCAAGTGGCCAGGATGCAGAAGCAGCAGAGAGAACGTCTGGTGTGTATGCGCATACTGTGTGCACGTGTGTGCCTGTGTGTGCACATGTTAGCACGCTCATTGCATGTATGTGTGCCTGTGAGCACATTGTGTGCATGTTCGTGTGTGTGTGCGCACACTGCGTGCTCATGTGTGCCTGTGTGTGCCTGTGTGTGCACAATGTATGCATGTGCGTGCCTGTATGCCTGTGTGTAAACACGAGCATGCACGTGTGTACGATGTGTGTGCACCTGTGTGCATGTATGTGCATATGTGTGTGCAACAGTGCGTGCATGTGTGTTCCTGTCTGTGCATACGTGAGCATGCTCATGTGTGTATGTACGTGTACACATGTGTACGTGTAGACGTGCAAGTGTAAATGTGTGTGCATGCCTGTGCTGTGCGTGTGCTCCTGGAATCAGATATGGCAGAAACCCCCGCCAGCAGAGCACTTGAGCCTGCCTCAGACCCCCAGGGACCAGGAGCAAGTGAGTGCACAGCCAGACCCAGGGCCGGGTCACCGCTGGGTGTGCCCGTCCTTCACAAGACCCTTGCCCCGTCTCGTCCAGTGGGACTGAGCAGGGCTTGTGCTCAGTGTAGCCACAAGAGGGGGAGGCCCTGCTCCCCTTCACTGTGCCCAGTCCTGGGTACCCGAGCCCAGAACAAGCCCCCACTCTCCACCACTGCGGAGCTTCCCGTGGAGGACAGCATCCTGGAGCACCCCTTCCGACTACCTCTGTTGGGGTACTGGGGAGCCTGGGCCTCCTGTCGGGGGACAGCAGTGTGGAAGATAAACCTACGCTGGCCCCTGCATCGAAGAGCACTCATCCCAGGCGGGCTGGGGGGCACCCCAGCAGACCAGGGGACACAGCTGGGTGCGGGAGTACACTGTGCCCCCTGCCTGGGGATGGGAGGGATTCAGAGCAGGTGGAGAGGCTTCCACTACCCCAGCAGAGCCCCAGCAATGCCCCTCCACCCGGCCCCTCCCCTCCTCTGGCTTCCCTGGGGTCTGCCTGCCCCTTCTCTCAGCCTGGGACCATGCCCTGCTCCAGGCCTATCCCTGGATACCCCCAACCCCCACCCCCACCCCTGTTCAAGGGGGGCGGGGCCTCGAGTCTCTGTCTTGTCCCCCTGGATCTCCACCTTCCTCTTCCCAGGCCCGCACAGGCCCATGGATGACCAGCTCGCTCATGCCTCAATGCAGAGCCGAGCTGCCTGCAAGGAGCACGGCCGACCCCGGCCTCGGCTCACTGAGCCCACCGCAAGAACCCCACCATCAGCTCCAGCCTCTACCAGAGGCCCCCAAACTGATCTGACTACCGCCCCCTTTTCAGAAAGAAAACAAGGGGCTCAGGGACCCTCAGCACCAGAAATCCACCTACTTGCAGTAGACAAACAGAGTACCCCCCCAGCCCCAAAATCCACCTATTTGCAATGCACAGAGTTGCCCCCCACAGACACCTGAGGGGAACCCCCCCCACACACACACAGTGTGGCAAACACTGCTCTCAGCCGTGTCTTCCCCGACCCCACAACTAGGCTTGGTCACCCCAGGAAAGGCTCCCACCACACGGAGCCCTCCTGCTTTACAACCACCTCCCACCTCCTTCAAGAATCTTCACCCAGGGGCCCGGCAGATAGTACTGGGGGTAAGGCACTGCCTCGCACCAGCGATCGGGGGGCACCCCACCCCCCACACGGTGCCTGGAGCAGCCCCTCCATCACCAGCAAGTTGCTGCCCAAGTCCCCTCCCAGCAAAAAGAAACTTTACCCAGATCACGCCCTCCCAAATCTTACCCTTTCCCACACAAGCCCCACTTCCAATTCTGCGTGGCACCTGTACAGGCATTTTTAAATCCTATCGGTGAGCAGCTATGAGCCCCTCGAGGCCCCAGATGCCTGAGTGTCAAGCTGGATCCCCCCCACTGCTTGGTTGATCCCAAGAGCTGGAATTCACTGAGCTCACCGCACCGTGGGCCCAGACCAAGGGCGCTTGGCTGGCATGCAGTCAACCGGGTTCAATCACCAGTTCCCCATATCATCCCAAGCTATGCCAGGAGAGAGTGCAGAGCCAGAAGTAAGCCCTGGACATTGCCGGGTGTGGCCCCCACCCAAAACCAAACAAAAAAATACTAATAATCAAAAAAAAAAAAGTCAGCGTGTTTTCATTTTGCAGATGATGAGGGAATGGAGGTTCAGAGAGTTCCACTGTCCTGCCTGCGGCCCTCAAGGCCTGCCTGACCCCCAGCTCAGGAGTCTGCCACATTGACACCTGCCATTATTGCTGGGGCTCGTCCCGGTACTGGCTCATTTCACTGAACGCTGAGTTCACAGGTTCTCCAGCAGCGGGCTGGAAGGATGGGGTGCGAGGTTCCGTCTATTCTTGCAACTCCCTCTTAGAGATGCAGGCGCTGAGGCCCAGGGGGACCCCTGGTCTTGCCCAGTTGGCAAACCTTAAAGTTCTGTAAAAAGATCTGGGTGGTGGGGCCCCCAAGCTTCAAGTCATTTCTGGTGCTGCCAATAGAAAAAGGAAGGCAAACCTCACGGGACGTCCCTCGATAAGGAGCCTCAGAGGAAACTCAGTTGTTTAGGACATCATAGGGACTGGGGAATGGGGTGTGGGAGGGTGGGTCTACAGGACCACCAGCCACACCTTCAGAAAGGCAGGATGGCAGCCATCCCCGTAAGCCTTCAGGAAGGGGGGCACCCCAGAGCCACGAGACCCCTAGTTAGCATGCCTCAACTTCTGGCCTCAAAGGAAGCCAAGTTAAACAGAAAAAAAAAAAGGCATTAATAGCAATAATCGGCTTCGAACTTTACAAGGCACTTCTCTTATTGCATAAGAGCACACTTGCCTTTGGGGGACCCGGCACCCTATTAGCCGACCACACCACAAGCTCACCCACCCTTGCCATGCTCTGTGCCGTGCCAGGCGCAGGGGAGCCTCCCAGGGGAGATGGTTCTGGGGAATGCCCAGATGCCAACAAAGACAATCCCAGGGCACTGGGCTTGTGGCTTTGCAGGGGGTCCACTGGGGAGCCCAGTGTCCGTCCCCTGGGGACAGAACAACAGGGGTTCAAGGGCACGGCAGCCCACCCCTCCTGCCTTCAAGTGCTGCCCCTTGAGGCTCTGAAGCCACTCTGAAGCCGAGAATGAGCCCCTTCTGCCTGAACAAACTGGGGTTTAATTCTCTCCTCATCAGCTCGGAGCCCCCCAAAAGTGCTTGGGGGAGGGGGGGCAGCCTGCCAGGATGGGGAGTAGGGCTACACTCCAGCAGCAACTCAGCCTTCCTTTCTGCACACCCAAAGGGGCCCCATCCTCTGGGCTGTGCCCACCACCCACTCCTCACACCGCAAGCACTTGGGTGGGGGGCAGAGGATGTCCCCAACCCTGGCGCCCTGAAAGCCCGCCTGCTTCTTCCCTAGCAGGGATGGTGCTACCGTTTGCCCCAGCGGCGGCGGCACCACCGCAGTTTGGCCCCAAGCTGCCAGCACCTGCCGCAGCCTCCCAGTTGGAGCTGTCCTGACCTGGCCCTCCTGCTCCCCGCTTTCTCCGAAAACTGAATGCTCAGGGGGGCAAGAGAGAAAGGCACCTCTCTTGGGGTGAGGGGGGGTGGCAGGAGAAGGCCGAGACTCCCTGCTAATCCTGGAGTGTCTAGGACCCCCGTTCTAGTAGGTTTTTACAACCACCACCCGGACCTGCAGGAAAAAAAAAAAAGCTGCGTTTTATCTACAAAAGGAATGGGGGGGGGGGTGTTCGAAGGCGCATGCAGGTCCGATTCCGGAGAGAAGTTGCTGTGTATCCCACAGAGTTGGCGGGGTCACGCCGTTCTGGCCACGCACGGAGACCGTCCCCTTCACAAAGACAGAAGAAACCCCCCTAACCAGGCAGCTGGGGCGCGGGGAAGCCCCTCACACTCCCACTTCCCCGGCCCCGGCCAGGCCGAGCTCTGCGCTGCTGACCGCTCGCACGGCGCCCGCCCGGCACCTGCTCCGGGACTCCCCGGAGCGCGCTCGGGGCCGGCCCCGCATCCCTCGGCCCCGGCAGGCGGCCTCCCTCCCCCTCCGTCCCTCCCTCTCTCTCTCTCCCTCCCCGCGGGCCCCCCTTAGCGCCGGCCTTGCCCACCCGGGCTTGCCCCTCCTCGGCACGGGGGACGGTCCTCGCCCGGGCGACCCGAGCAGAAGCCGGCGGCGCGCAAGGTCGGCGGGGCGCGGGCAGGGGCCAGCCGGGGCCGGGGCCGGGGCCGGGGCCGGGGCCGGGGCTCGGCAGGGGCCGGCCACGAGGCGCGCCGGGCCGGGGGTCCCGCGGCGCCCGGCCCCAGCACTCACCGTCGTTCTGGGCCAGCGCCGGCCGCAGCAGCAGCAGCAGCGGCAGCAGCAACAGCAGCAGCAGCAGCAGCAGCGGCGGCAGCGCGGGCGCCGCGCGCATCGTGGCGTGGGGCTCGGGGCCGGGGCAGGTGGCAGCGCGCGGGGGCCTGGCGGCTGCGGCACGGGCGGGCGCTGTCTGCGCGGCTGCGGCGGCGACTCCCGTCCCGTCCGCGCCGGCCCCCGCCCCCCGGGAGCGCGCCGCCGCCGGCGGGGCCGGGCGGGGCCGGGCCGGGGCTGGGCGGGCGCTGGGCCGCGAACAATGAGCCGGGGAGGAAACTCCGCCCTGGAGCGCGGCGGGCGGGGGAGCGCGGGAGGGGGGCGCGGGCCGTGGGGGCGCGGGGGGCTGCCGGGTCCCTCGTCTCCCGGGTCGCCCGCGGGACTTTGGAGGCCGTCGAGACGATCCATACCCCCCGCCGCGCGCCCCGAACTCCAGCGAGGTGTTTCCCACCCCACCCCACGCCCCCTCCCCTCCCCGCCTCCCGAGGCTTTTGTGCGCGCGTGGGAAGGACCCCCGGAGGTCTCTGCTGCCCCGCACGCTGAGCACCTGTCCACACCTGCCAGGTGCAACTGCCCCGCGCGACTTGCGAGCAGGTCTGGGCTGGCTGCGGGCTGGGGCCGCACGGGGCCCCTTCTGGAGTTATCGGGGCAATTGCTTAACTTCTCCGGCCCAAGAGCCTCACCTGTGAACGGAGGGAAATGATTCGTTGCAACGCAGCGCGCTGAGCGCGGTGGGGGTGGGTTGTGTATGTGTGTGTGTGGGGGGGGGGATTATTTTTATTTAGTTAGTTTTGGGAATAACCATGTGGCCGTCTGGGTTCTTAAAAGGGCGGGCACTTAATATTCATTCTCGCCACAGCCACCTTTGTAGCTCGGTTTTGCAGGAATCGAGTGGAGAGTTAGGACCCTTGGCCAAGATCCTGGAAATGGCACACGCGTCTACCTCGGAGAGAATTTCTTGGAGAAATTCGTTGCGCCGTGCTTGTCAAAGAGTAACTGCTCGGGACCTGTTAGCAAGCATGAGGATGCGCCAGCATAAATCAACGAGATGCAAAACCCAGCTGTGTTCTGTTATTTGAAAGACTCCGAACATCTCGCACACCCCGCCCTCCCCCCCCACCCCCCCGCTCTTTTTTTAAATTTAATTTTTTGGAGGTGGGTTTTTTGTTTTGTTTTATTTTGGCACCTTAGAAACAGGAATAGATCGCCCCTCCTCCTCCTCTGCAAGGGAAACTAGAAGACTTAGGAGAAGGTGGTGAGGGTAGAAGGTTTATTTAGCCCAGAGCTTGGCACAGAGAAACTCAGTGAAAGAAGCAACTGCTCCAAGGGTTGACAGAACCTGCAGGTTTGGATGGGGGTGGGAGCCTAATCTAATCCAACTAAGCACCCCCTTCCGGTACCATTATGAGTCCCACAAAAGCAACCTGGGGGGTGGGAACGCAGATTGTGAATCCCCTACTGAGAAGTTCAGGACTGGGGGGGGCAGGGGCGTGCATTTTTGGGATGTGGTGGCAGTGATTCCCAGGTGGAAAATCTGGAGTCTTTATGAGATGGGTCTGGAAGGTTGGTTGGTGTTTGCCCACCAGACTTGGCCAGTGTCGAGGACCTTAGTATCCCAGTGCCCTTCCTACTGGGCACAGCCTCTTTGCAGCAGAGAAAGGACAGTCACAGCGGGGGCCTGGCTGGAGTTCTGAGGTAGCCCCTGGCTGAAGTCAGGGAATGGCTGAGCCGGCTGTTTTCATCAGGAAGCTTCTACAGGGTCATTCTGGCCCTGTTTTCCATGCCACATATGGGAAAGACAAGAGGGTGTTCCCTAGAAATGCTGTGAGAAGTATGTGTGTGCGTGCGTGCGTGTGTGTGTGTGTGTGTGTGTGAGAGAGAGAGACACAGAGAGAGAGAGAGAGAGAGAGAGAGAGAGAATCTTTGCTAAGAGTCCTTCCCCTAGTATAGCCTCGTTTCTCTGCAACCAGTAATATGCTTAGGGAAAAAAAAAAACTCAGGAACTGGAACTCAGAAACAATTTGTATTGTATGCACTCTGATTTAAACAGTGTATTTGAGCTCAGCAAAGCATTGCTCCACAAATTCAGGAAGGAGTTAGTTCGCTTTGTGGAGAGTGTATTTCAGAACTATTTCACATTCACCAGTAGTGCCATGGGTCCCTTTAACAGTGAAAAATGGAAATGAGAGTAAACATCTGGGTGTAGGAAATGGGCTGATTTTTGCGGCAAAAGTCAGACTGCCACAAAGAATTGGGGGAAAATCAGAGTAGGGTGCGCCCTCCCCAGCATCTGCAGCACCCCTCCCCCACTGAAGCACAAAGGGGTCAGCAGATGACCCAGGTGCTCCTTGAGTTATCTGTCTCCAGGTAACTGACCTGTGTCCTTGGCACTCCTTAGCATTTCCCTCCCACTTGGAGGGCTGCTGACTTCCAGCATACCTGAGTTTATAACCAAACCTCAAAGCGTTTTGTAGATGCCGTTTGCTGATCCTACCGGGATTTCTTACATTTGGGATATAGAGACTCATGCAGCAGCAACGCTAGAGGACTTTATATGGGATTTTTGTTTTCTTTTGTTTGGGGGCCACACCCAGCAATGCTCAGGGCTTACTCCTGCCTCTGTGCTCAGGGATCACTCCTGGCAATATCTCAGGAGACCACTTGCAGTGTCAGAGATCGAACCTGGGTCAGCCATGTGCAAGGGAAGTGCCCTAGTTGCTGTACTATTGCTGTTAGTTCTTTTTTGTTGTTGTTGTCTTTTTTGGGTCACACCTGATGATGCTCAGGGGTTACACCTGGCTCCGCACTCAGGAATTACTACTGGTGGTGCTCAGAGGACCATGTGGGATGCTGGAGACCAAACCCAGTCAGTTGTGTGCCAGGCAAAACGCCCCACCTGCTGTATTATCGCTCCAGTCCCAACTGTTGTAAATTCTTGACACAGACCTTCCTTGTTCGTTTTCTACGTCCTCGGACAATGCCACTGGAATAGTAGCACTGTAGCACTGTCATCCTCCAGCGGGCACCAGTAATGTCTCCATTGTGAGACTTGTTACTGCTTTTGGCATATTGAATACATCGCAGGTATCTTGCCTGGCTTTGCCATGCGGGCAGGATACCCTCGGTAGCTTGCCATGCTCTCCGAGAGGGGCAGAGCAATCCAATCCGTTGGCAAATGCTCTACTCGCTGTGCTATCGCTCTCATAATCTTCCTCAGCATGATGAATGCAAAGTGAGTTCCAACTGGGAGATGTTTGCAGAAACCTACCGATCAAGGTTTTATAAGTGCCCTGTCCCAGCTGTCAGTCAGCAGTCAAGATCCTCCGCCCCTCCTGGAGTTGGGCCAGGCTGCTGATTATATGTTTAAGTGCTGGTTTGGTCAACACCTCCTGACCCTCCCCCTAACCCCCGGTCATGACATCTGCATGTAGCAGTGGCACACAGCCTCCAGACAGGCGGAAATTATGCATTCATAGCCCACAATCTCCGCTGAAACAGGCTTGCTGAAGGCAGGAGGGAGAGGTGTTGGCAGGACATTACCTGTTCCCAGAGCTCCTGAGTGGCCAGTGGGAAAGGACAGGAAGGGCTTGAGAGGAGCGGTTCTTGGGGGACAGACTAGATAGGACCTAACTACCCCGGCATGTCGGCATGTGTGTGTGTTGGGATGAGGGCATGGAGGCGTGATGGGGAAGGAAGAGCTAGGTTTCCCAATGGGACTTCTGGACAGATATCTGAGTGCCATGGGTGGACATCTAAGGAAGAGGAAGATCTGAGGGGCTGGAGAGATAGTACAGCGGGTAGGGATTTGCCTTGCACGCAACTGACCCGGTACCCCGTATGATCCCCCTGGACCTTGCCAGGAGTGATCCCTGTGCACAGAGCCAAAAATAAGCTCTGATCACTGCTAGGTGTGGCCCCTAAACAAACGAAGTGAGGGACTAAGACACGATCCAGTAGGGTAGATGAGAAATAACCTTGGAGAGTGTTGTTCATCATTAGAATTTTTTAAGCTGAAGTAAAAATCGTTTTATTCAAAGAAATTTACTTAGAGAGATGTAAGGGAAGAAGAAGAAGGGGGAGGAAAATAAGGAAAAGAAGAAGGAGAAGGAGAAGAAGAAGGAGAAGGAGAAGAAGAAGGAGAGGAGAAGGAGAAGGAGAGGAGGAGAAGGAGGAGGATGGGGGAAGAGGGAGGGAAAGAGGGAGGGGAAGAGGAGGAAGAGGAAGAGGAAGAAGGGTAAGGGGAAAGGGTTGGGGAAGGGGAAGAGGAAGAAGAAAAAAGAGTGAGAGGTGTGTTCAAGAGAGAACACAGGCTTTTTCAGAAAAGCCTCATCTTCGGAATTCTGCAATTTAGTAGCGTTGTGACCTGTGCTTTTGACTTCAGCTCTCTGAGCTGCTGTCTCCTCCTCTACAAAATAAATCATAGGGCTGGAGGGATATTACAGTGGGTAAAGCACTTGCCTTGTACACAGAGTACCCCAATTTGATCCCCAGCACTGCATACACTTCCCTGAGCACCACCAAGTAAGCCCTGAGCACTGGTGGGCATGGCCCCATACCATAAATAAATTAATTAATTGAAATAAATAGTGTCTCTAATTTTACAGAATCTTAGGGAAGATGCAAGAGAGTGAGGCCTGGTGGCACTCAATAAATGGAAAATGATATACTTTTATTTTTTCGTGGGGAATGAGAGGTTCGAGCCACACCTGGTGGTGCTCAAGAGTGAATCTGATGATGCTCAGGGGACTATATGCAGTGCCAGAGATCAGAATCAAGACTGGCCAGTGCAAGGCAAGTGCTTTCCCTGTGTACTGTCTTTCCAGCACCCGCGGGAGGTGGTGTTCTCACTCTAGCAGGAGAAATGCTCCCAAGCCCGGTTCTTTGCTGGAGTCTTTTGCTCCCAAGAGGAGCCAGAGAAATGAATGGCTGTGGAGGTGCACACGCTGCAGACCAGGCCTGTGGCTGCCTAATCAGGTCAACCTTCCACAGCTAACGCAAGGGCCCTGCTTGCAGGAGGTCCCTTGGGACCTTGGTTCACTCCTGATGTCATCTGTGGCATTCTCAGATCCCTGGGATTCTGAGCACCCTGGGGACCCAAAGATGTTGGAGCTCACAGACTCCTGGCTCATCCCCGGGGAAGAAAGCTA